CCACCTTCACCGTTGCTGGCCCCCTCCCCACTGTGCCCGCCCCACGCTCACCAGGGGCACATACTCCACGTCATCCCCCAGCCATTGTCCACCTTCACCATTGCTGGCCCCCTCCCCACTGTGCCCGCACACACTCACCAGGGGCACATACTCCACGTCATCCCCCAGCAGCCCTGTGTCGTTGAGGGTGTACTTGGCCTTCTTCTGCACAGCATCCACTGGCCCCTTCTCCACCTGATGCTTGATGGCCTTGAAGAGCTTGTACAGGGGCTCACCAGCGCTGTCCTGGGGTGACACAGGGCGGTCAGTGTGGGCGGGGCCTGGGTTGGGAGGGTCAGGGAACGTGTGGCCAGCAGGAGGCCCGACCAGGGTGTCTGTGGGTCTGACCACATGAGGGCACGGAAGCAGAGGAGCAGGTCTGCTGGGGCTGGGACCCACCTTGAGATACTGGTACAAGCAGATGGACATCCAGTTGGACAGCATCCTCTCCACCACTGTCTCCGACCTGAGGTTGCAGAGGCCTCGCACCAAGGGGCCCTTAATACCCTAAGGCCCAGACCCCCACCCTCCACGCCTCCCCAACCAGGCCTTGGTCCTCCACCAGGACACGCAGGTGCAGCCTGCAGCGACTGAGCACCTGGTATGCAGACATTGCACACATCTGCACACATATATCCACATGTGAACGCAGGAAGCCCTGAATGTCCTCTTCCTCCCCCTTCTACTGGCCAAGGTCAGGGCAGTGAGGGGAGTTGGGGTCCCACCTGGCACCAGGGCCCTGACTACCCTCCTCGCCCCCCACCCCGCCCCCGCCCCCACGCACCTGCGTAGCATAAGTTTGGGGTTCTTGGCCACCACATACTGCTCCATGAGCTCCAAGAAGAGCGTGCGCATGATGTCTGTGTAGTACTCAAGCTTTCCATGCAGCGCCACCGTCAGCAGGGACGCAAAGTAGACCTTGGCGCGTGCAGAGAACTCCCGCTGGCTCTCCAGCGTGTGGATGAACTGTGGGTGCAGGGCAGTCAGGACCCTCCGACCAGCCAACCCTCTGGCCGCCGCCCCCCGCCCCCAACTGGCCTCCTGCCTAC